AGACTTATATATTTGTTACCCACTTGAGTTCAACATGTCGTTGATATTTAAAACTTTCGCACTCGTAATTGAACAAAGTAGTCGGGATTAAGTCGTCAAAACACCCTCACCGGGTGCTCTAGGCAAATCCTACAGAGCTATTCGTTTTGCCTATTCTAGACGTCCTTGGAGCCGTATTAGTTAAAAATCTAACTTTGTGCTGTAGTTCAAAGTTTGAACTTTTAAGCAATTCGGTACCTGAGCAACTTACTGTTACCAGGAGACGTGAGTAATAAAGCGAACATCAATACGAGGATTACTCTCACAGGTACGCCAGCAGTAATTTCTGTTATGATTTATAAAGTATATCCTTTATCGATGAAACATAACCAGAGTAGGTTTTTTTTGGCGTCACGCCACCTAATGTCTTTCTAAGCAAAACGTCTGATCTGTTATTTACATTCATGTAAGACAAATCACGTCAATTTCTGTAAAAAGTAAACATCGCTTTAATGAATGCGGCATTTATCCCATAACAAAGTGTTCTTACCAAGTATTAAATTATCTTAAATAATAGAATATCTGCCTATCCATTAGATAATTGTCCACGAAGCCATGCTAGAATATATGTTAGCGACACTTGCTGAGATGAGTGTATGTTACATCCCCGGCATCCATCATTGTTTCTCGATCTTGTACGGACATGCCTACATCGTTAACAATTCAGCGGAGACAGGGTCTGCGATTTAATTTTTTTTGCTAGCGGTTTTAAAGCTTCACCTAAAATTGTTGTCTCCCTTCTGATCGGTGACCGAACTCAGCTATGTGGTGGCTTGTACTCTGACTTAGTGACTATTTGTCCGGGACCGGTGGCATAATCATACCGCCTAATGCATACATGCCCTGGCTGTTAGAATCTGTCTTCCCACAACCTCCGTACCAGTTTAACGTTTTTGAAAGAAGAATAAGATCAAGTGAAAGGCGAGAAAGAAAACAGCATACCTTGTAGCATCAGCTAGTCTTGGGTTCGGAGCAATTTAGATTGACGTCAACAATAGCAGTCCAGTCCTCACGTGACACGGAAAAGTTTCCTTGCCCTGGGTATCTTGCTAATTGATTATGATCGTTATACCCCCATGAGACAAAAGAGTTGAGACAAGTCACCTCACTCTCTGCTATATTGCAGTGTCCAGACCAGGTTGAGGCAAGGTTT